ATTTTTGTATTTTTAGTAGAGAGGGGGTTTCACCATATTGGCCAGGTTGGTCTTGAACTCCTGACTTCAAGTGATCTGCCCGCCTCAGCCTCCCAAAGTGCTGGGATTACAGGTGTGAGCCACTGCATGCAGTCTGAATCTATGGTTTTTGTTTTTTTGAGTTTTTTCTTTGTTTTTTTTTTGAGACGGAGTCTTGCTCTGACACAAGGCTGGAGTGCAGTGGCACAATCTCGGTTCACTGCAACCTCCACCTCCTGAGTTCAAGCAATTCTCCTGCCTCAGCCTCCCCAGCAGCTAGGACTACAGGCATGCACCATCACATTCAGCTCATCTTTTATATTTTCGTAGAGACGAGATTAATCTCTGTGTTGGTCAAGCTGGTCTTGAACTCCCGATCTCAGGTGATCCACCCGCCTCGGCCTCCCAAAGTGCTGGGATTACAGGCATAAGCCACCATGCCCAGCCTGAATCTATGTTTTATAAGTGAAATCCAATGGGGCAATAGAACACGTGCATGGGCAGATGAGACACCCACAATATGAGTTACCCCTGTCCCTTGCCACCAAACTCCCCATGGCGCACCTGCTGTGCCCTGCACGTAGAATCTTAGTGGATCTGCAGTGCACTGGAGCTCAGCAAGGCTCCAAGGGCACATAGGGAAAGCCTACTATGTCCACAACAGAGTCTGAGAGAGATGCTGACGGCGCCAAGAGGCCACACTTTCTCTTATTATAGAATCGGAATTGCAAAACCAAGGCAACGGCATTCTAAGAAACAGGAACAAACAAGGCACCCTCTCCCAGCCTTTTCTACTCATCTGATTCCCCGTAATAGCCAGCCACTTCCACTGGAAGTGATGACATGGGAGAGGCAAAGATAGCGGAGTCACAGTGATTTTTCCTTTCAATTCTTCCTTACATATCAGTAAGCCAGAGGTAGAGAGTGGCAGTAGATTGGGTAGATGTGAAAAAGTGAAATAAAAAGAGCTGAATTGCCAGGTGCGGTGGCTCATGCCCATAATCCCAGCATTTTGGGAGGCTGAGGCAGGTGGATCACGAGGTCAGGAGTTCGAGAACAGCCTGGCCAACATGGCAAAACCCCGTCTCTACTAAAAATACAAATATTAGCTGGGCATGGTGGCGGGTGCCTGTGTCCTAGCTACTCGGAGGCTGAGGCAGGAGAATCACTTGAACCCGGGAGGCAGAGGTTGCCGTAAGCTGAGATCTCGCCACTGCACTCCAGCCTGGGTGACAGAGCAAGACTTCGTCGAGGGGGGTAAAAACAAATAAACAAATAAATCAGCTGAGTTAGTTTCCTGCAACGTCCCACTGTTTCTGTGAGACAAAAAAAAAAACCCATATGCAAAATACAAATTATGTCATTTCTGTGATTCCACATTTGAGTCAAATGTTCCCATTTAAATCTGGCATGGCACTCTATAAAGCGGAACAGTATAATCCATGCTAGTAATTTAAAATGTTAATTTTTCTTTACTTAGAACGACATTAAATAACAAATAAAAGCATCATGATAAATTGAGACATAGAGACCACGGCAGAAAGAACACGATTTATATGTTTGTACTTCGGCAGTACTTTGCCTTGGATTTTTGAATAAGGGAGCCCATGTTTTCATTTTGCACCGGGCCTTGCAAATTCTGCAGCTGGTCCTGACTGTGAAGACCGGGGTTTAGCCATAGAATCAGCAGAGGTTGATCGTAGGGACTTGGGGTATGGGAAGAGAGAGGAGTTAGGCATGGCTGCAGGGTTTTAAGCCGGTGGTGCCGCTGGCTGGAAAATCTAAGAATTCCAGCATTGAAGGGCAGGCTTTGTGAATCTGTTGTGGATGGGTGGAGCCTGCAGGGCCCATGGGACACCCTGCCTTGGAGGAGGGTGAGCAGCAAGTCATTAGCACAGGACGTGGCTGAGGCTTGGGACGGGCTACTGAGGGAGGAACTCTGGGCAGGGATGCTGGGGAAGGCCGACACTTAGGAAATGGAACAACAGCCGGGAGCGGTGGCTCATGCCTGTAATCCCAGCTACTCAGGAGGCTGAGGCAGGAGGATCGCTTGAGGCCAGGAGTTCAAGATCAGCCTGCACAACATAGCGAGACCCCATTTCATTTGGGAGTGGTGGCTCACGCCTATAATTCCAACACTTTGGGAGGCCGAGGCGGGTGGATCACGAGGTCAGGTGTTCGAGACCAGCCTGACCAACATGGTGAAACCCCGTCTCTACTGAAAATACAAAAGTTAGCTGGGCGTAGTGGCGTGCACCTGTAATCCCAGCTACTCGGGTGGCTGAGGCAGGAGAATCTCTTGAAGCTGGGAGGCGGAGGTTGCAGTGAGCTGAGATCGCACCACTGTACTCCATTCTGGGCAACAGAGCGAGAATCCATCTCAAAAATAAATAAAATAAAATATTAATAAAAAGTAAAAATACAAAAAAGAGATGGGACAACAAAGAAGGCCTCATAAAGGAGATGGAGAGGAGAGGGACAGGAAGAAACGGGAGAGCTAAGGTGACAGCCAGGAGCAGGCATGACAGGCTCCCTAGAGTAGGGTTTTATTATCTCAAGTGACCGTGAGCGAACTGCTGAACCTCTCTGCGCTGCAGATATCATGGATACAATGAAGATAAAATGAAGACAATAACAACAGCACTTACGGGCGGGGTGGCTGTGGTGAAGATTAAATGAACAGTTTCTAGGGGAAGTGCTCAGAACGCGGCTGTATTAAATGCCTCAGGCTGCTATAACAAGGTACCACAAGCTGGGTGGCTTAGAACTACAGAAATGCATCCTCTCACACCTGCAGGCCAGAGGCTGAGATGAAGGCATTCTCAGGGCCACGCTCCCTCTGAAGATGCTAGGGAAGGATCTCCCTCCCAGCTTCTGCCAGTTCCTCAGCTGTGGCAGCACAAGCCCAGTCTTCACGTGGCCTTCTCCCTGTGTGCATCTGTGTCCAGAATTTCCCCTTTGTATATATGTAATTTTATTTATTTATTTATTTTGAGACAGAGTCCTGCTCTGTTGCCCAGGCTGGAGTGCAGTGATACAATCTTGGCTCACTGCAACCTCCGCCTCTTGGGTTCAAGCAATTCTCCTGTCTCAGCCTCCCGAGTTGCTGGGATTACAGGTGCCCACCATCACACCTGACTAATTTTTTTGTATTTTTAGTAGAGACAGAGTTTCCCCATGTTGGCCAGGCTTGTCTTGAACTCCTGACCTCAAGTGATCCACTCACCTCAGCCTCCCAAAGTGCTGGGATTATAGGTGTGAGCCACTGCGCCTGATCTATTTTATTTTATTTTTTAATACAGATGGGGGGGGTCTTACTATGTTGGCCAGGTTGGTCTTGAACTCCTGGCCTCAAGCAATCCTCCTGCCCCAGCCTCCCAAAGTGCTACGATTATAAACCACTGCACCTGGCCAATTTCCCCTTTCCATGAGGACACCCAATATACTGGATAAAGCCTACCCTATCAACCTCATTTTAACTTGGCTACCTTTGTAAAGACTGTCTCCAAATACAGTTACATTTTGAGGTACTGAGCATCAGGACTCCAAGTCTTTTGGTGCTGGGGGGTGGGGCATGCAATTCAACCCACAACAGTGCCCTGCTCTGTGAAATGTTCACCTTTATGAATATGACACCCTCCATGAGTTGTTTTCTTCAAAGGTATGAGGAAGAGACCAGGAAGGGGCAACCTGAGTGTGGGGAACCTAAATTTGTTGTGGCCACAATCTCCACAACAACAAGATGTTTCTCACACAGCACTTCTCAGCCCAGGTAAAGGTAAACATAAGAAGGAGAGGGAGTGACACATCCTGATAACGCGCCAAAGACAACCACAGGCAGAAATGCTGGTGGCAGCAAGGCAGACAGGGAGCACTGCTCATGGCTCTGCCTGCCCCACTTTTGCTCAGGGACCACCAGGAGGCCTGAGGTCCCAAGGGACAGAAATCACCACCACCACCACCTCTCAGCCCTGGCCAACATACGCACAGGAGGCAAACCAAGCTTTGATCATTTATTAAAACCAATAAGAGGTTTAATCTGTGGGTAAAAAGGCCTTGTTTGCCAGCAGCTCAGGGGATGCCTTCGAGCTGACACGTGCTGGTGCACTTGGAAGGGGGAAGCATCACCTGGGAGCTGGAGATAAGCAATAGATTAACAACCAGAGCTACCAGAAGCGTCAAACCAGGCATCACCTTAACAGAAATTATTCCTGGAGCTAATGTGGAAGTCATCAATCCCAAGAGAAAAGACAGGGCTGGGTGTGGTGGCTCATGCCTGTAATCTCAACATTTTGGAGGCTGAGGTGGGACGATCACTTAAAGCCAGGAGTTCAAGACCAGCCTGGGCAACGAAATGAGACCTCGTCTCTACAAAAAACACTAAAATAAATTAGCCAAGTGCGGTGGTGCATACCTTCCAGCCACTCAGGAGGCTGAGGCAGGAAGATCACTTAAGCCCAGGAGGTCAAGGCTACAGTGACCTATGATCTCATCACAGCACTCCAGCCTGGGCAACAGAGCAAAACTCTGTCTCTGAAAATAAGAGAAGACAGATGAAACACCTGCAAAGTGGGCCAAAACTTAGAAAAAGGGAATTGCTCTATTTTAGTTGAAGGATTGCGAAACAAAATTTTCAAGAGCAGCAATGAAAGACCTGCTTGCCACAGTCTTTCAGCAAAACCACAAGTGAGCAGACTCTGACTCTCCCACGCCCCTCTCGCTAACCCCAAGCCCTCTCCTTCCTCTTCATCCTAATTCCAGGAGTGACTTTGGTGGTACCTTCCCCGAAACTTCCCCCTTTGCCAAAGCTCCAGGTTCTAGAGCTTCCTTTCTTTCTTCTCTTCTGCTTTAAGGCCTGCTTACTCTGAGTTCAACACCCTTACAGCCTTGTTAGATAAATGGCTACATAAGATGATTGGTTATTCGGAGCGAGTATGGCTGATGATGGCTTCTGCAATATGATGCAATGAACCTGTGCCTACCTTCACCAAACGATCAGCAGTCACTTCGGTGTCATAGGGTAAACCATCAGCATGTCCCTCCTGATACGATGCACAGAGAAGAACACACCACTGCTGTGACAGTCCTGCCCCAAATGCATAAGAATATCACCACCAAGAAACATCAGCCAGACACAAACAAAGGGACATTCTACCAAATAACCATCTTGCGTTCTTCAAGAATGCCAATACCACGAAAGATAAAGAAAAACTGAGGAGCCGTTTCAGGCTAAAAGAGGCCCACAGAGACACAATTACTGAAAATAATGTATGATCTGGGATTATCTTTTGCTCCAATGTATGTTATTGGGTTAACTGGCAAAATCTGAATGCGGTCCATACATTAGAAAACTGTATTATAGCAGGCTTAGTGTCTTGATTTTGATCACTGCCTTGGTTATGTAAGAGAAAGTCCTTGTTCTTAAGGAATACACAGGAATATTTAGGAGTAAAGGATAACCTGTCAGCCACTTAGAAAATAATAAAGTAAATGGGATAAAATGGTAGCATTAGGGAATCTCAACATAGGGTATAAAGGATGTCTTTCTACTATTCTTGCAATGCTTCTGTCTGGAAACATAATAATAAATATTACATATTTAATAAGTAAATAAATGAAAAAGTGTTCAGTATTTCCCAGCAGGTGTCAAACTTGGCAATGCATTAAGATCACTCAGAAGCTCTGCATAAATATCAGTGCCCAGGCCCCAACCCAGAGATTCATATTCAGTTAGCTGGGGGTGAAACTCCAGACATCGGCACACATGAAACACACCCAAGGTCATTCTAGTGTGAACCCAGAATAATAAGCAGCCAGGTCAGCCCTTGGTGTCGTTGGGTGACACTAGAGTTCCAGGCTGGGGACTTTCTGAGGCCCCCACGTCTGCTTGTTTGAGATCTGATCTCGGGGGCAGCATGGTGACTGAAAACAGGAACACAGCTGTGAGTCCAGTCTTGGTCCTTCTGCTAATAAGATGGGAGACCTGGGTCAGATCTCTTGCCTGGGCCAAGCCTGGTTTTCTCAGCTGTGTAATAAGATTAACCCGGAAGTGCCTCAGAGACCAATGTGCATTCAAGGAAGAAGATGCCCAGGTCAGTAACTGATATGGTTTGGCTGTGTCCCCACCCAAATCTCCAGTTCTAGCTCGCATGATCACCACGTGTTGTGGCAGGGACTTAGTGGGAGGTAATTGAATCACAGGGCAGGTCTTTCTCCTGCTGTTCTTGTGACACTGAGTAAGTCTCACAAGATCTGATTTTTCTTTTTTTTTTTTTTTTGAGACCGAATCTCACTCTGTTGCCCAGGCTGGATCCAGTGCAGTGGTGTGATCTCAGCTCATGGCAACCTCCACCTCCTGGGTTCAAGCAATTTTCATGCCTCAGCCTCTCAAGCAGCTGAGACTACAGGCATGAGCCACCATGCCTGGCTAATTTTTGTATTTTTATTAGAGATGGGGTTTTACCATATTGACCAGGCTGCTCTTGAACTCCTGGCCTCAGGTGATCCACCGCCTTGGCCTCCCAAAGTGCTGGGATTACAGGTGTGAGTCACTGTGCCTGGCCTGATCTAATAGTTTTATAAAAGTGAGTTCCCCTGCTGCCATGTAAGAGGTAACTTTGCTCCTCCTCCACCTTCTACCTTCCACCATAATTGTGAGACCTCCCCAGCCATGTGGATCTGTGAGCCCATTAAACCTCTTTTTCTTTATAAATTATCCAGTCTCAGGTACGTCTTTATTAGCAGAGTGAGAATAAACTAATACAGTAACCCTTACATCCCCAGGCCTCAAAATGGAGTTGCCACAGGATGGCAGTCTGAAACTCTTGTGATGCCCAGCTGGCAAAAAGGAATTTGGATGAGTAGAGCTGGCCAACTTCTGGAATTGCCGGTGGGTCCTGTCATTGTGTGGGTGACTCCTTGCACCCCTGTCCCTTCACAGGACTGAATTCTGGTAGGGTTCTTAGAAAGGGGCTGGAGAAAGCAAGAGGACACCACTCTTCCTCCAAGCAGCAGGAAGGCAAGCTGGCGAAGCCAAGCTCCCAGGTGAACTGAGGCACCTCCACAGGTCCCTTTGTGAGGCGTGCTTGACCTGGGTTTTATGGAAAGAAAGTGCCCTCACCAAAAGGTGCTAAACAGGCCCTAGACTCCACCCAGATCACAGGTGCCAACCTCTGCCCTGCCCTAGACTCACCTAAAGCTGCACTGCCCAGAGTCATGGCCTCAGGTCACACGTGGCTACTGGGCACTTGAGATGTGGTCATTTCAATTGAGATATGCTATTAGTATAAAATATACACTAGATTTCCAAGTCTTCATAAGCAAAAAAAAAAAAAAGAAAAGAAAATATTTCATTAAGAATTTTTAAGTATTCATTAACGATGAAATAATAATATTTTGGATATATCAAAGTTTACTAGGAGAATTCACTTCACCCCTTTTACTTTTTCTAATGTGGCAACAAAATGATTTAATATTACATACGTGGGTTACCTTATATTTCTATTGGACAGCTCTATTCTAAAGTCTGCACATTGTCCTTTTGTGGCTTATTTCCCAGATAATTTCATTAAATTAAATTGAGGGGCCAGGTGCAGTGGCTCACATCTGTAATCCCAGCATTTTGGGAGGCCAAGGTGCGTGGATCACCTGAGGTCAGGAGTTCAAAACCAGACTGGCCAACATGGTGAAACTCTGTCCCCACTAGAAACACAAAAATTAGCCAGGTGTAGTGTCACATGCCTATAATCCCAGCTACTCAGGAAGCTGAAGCAGGAGAATCACTTGAACCTGGGAGGCGGAGGTTGCAGTGAGCTGAGATCGTGCCACTATACTCCAGCCCGGGCAACAAGAGCGAAACTCCGTCTCAAAATAAATAAATAAATAATAAAGTAAATAAAATAAAAAATCAAATTCAGGGCCAGGCATGGTGGCTCACACCTGTAATCCCCAGCATTTTCGGAGGCTGAGGCAGAAGGATCACCTGAGGTCAGGAGTTCAAGGCCAGCTGGCCAGCATGGTGAACCATATGTAGTCTCTACTAAAAACACAAAAATTAGCCAGGCATGGTGTGGGCACCTGAAAGCCCAGCTACTCTGGAGGCTGAGGCAAGAGGATCATTTGAACCCAGGAGGCAGAGGTCAGTGAGCCGAGATTGCACCCTAGCACTCCAGCCTGGGTGACAGAGTGAGACTCCATCTTAAAAAATAAATTAATTAAAAAAAATAAATTGAGGAACAATTGAGCATGCAAAATAGAATCAGCCCTGGGCCCTGGATACCCTGCAGTTAGAATTCCCCTGCAGTTCTAAGGCATCTGGAATTCCAACAAATACACATTTCCCTCAGGTCCACTAAAATGCAGATATTGTCAGATAATGCTCATTTCTCACAGCTTGCCTGAATAACAGTAATGATCATTATAGTAATTTACAGCCTAATACTCAACACTACCATTTTAACCCCAGCTGCGAGACTGAATCGCAAACGTGACATTCTTTGAAGTAAAGCTCTCAATTAATATACCAGACTGCACAAACTCTAATAACTTACCTTTCCACAGAAAGAGAATATGTGGGTAATGAAGACAAATGGTGCAGAGTAGACTCTCATCAAAGACCCTCTGGCAGTAATGAGTTGCATTCCAGAAGGTTCCAGAAGGTTCTGTGGAAAGCTGCAATTTGGGATTGGTTCTCAGGTGTCTGTCTGACTGCTTTCTAAGGATAAAGTCTCCTGGTTTGTGTTTTAGCTACACCCACAGGAGCAACAGACTAAGACATTCCTCCCGCACAGTAACAGACCCAGGCAGTGCAGAACCATGTGGGTTTTATCTGTTCTGTTGCCCACAGTCTGGTTTTATCTTAGACCCCACCTGATGCAATCCATGTGGTGTACTGGCACTCCACTTAAGTTTCCTGTTTGTAAAAAGCCACTTACATTTGGTGACTCCTCAGGGCTTTAGGGGAACTTTCTGGAAACCAGGAAGAAGGAAATAAAGGTTGTTTTGCTGAGGATGGGTGACATTGGCTGCAGGACCCAAATGAGTGGTTTGAACAGAAAGTCACCTCCACGCTGGACAGGTGCTTGGGCCCAGAAGCTTATCTATTCATACTTCAGAGGGATCCAGGAGTCAGACATGATGCTTCAGTTCTTTTTAAAAAAATATAGTACATAATCTTTATCAACAAGAGAAGATAGGGGCACGGAGGACAAACTGCACTCTACATAAGCATACATGTGACGAGAAAAATCACAGTCCGCTATTCAAGGTCTAAGGAAGAAAACAACTAGGAAATGAGCATCTTCAAAAACAAGTTTTTCCTGCTTTTTTTTTTTTTTCCATTTATTTATTTTTTTGCATTTTAGGTTTTTGGGTACATGTGAAGAACATG